CCCCCCCCATTCCGGTGAGCTCGTAGAATTGCGCATCGCTGATGCAGTCCTGCAGCAGCAAGATTTCTTTCCCTAACCTTGAAAACTTTATCGCGCAGATTAGTGTGTAGCTTCGATTAGTGAGAAGCTTCGCGAATCCCCCATCCCCCAACCTCGTGCGAGCGCAACGGCGAGTTCAAAGTCATTCTAGAAGAATTTACGTATCGATTTTTGAAATACGCAATACCGAACGTTATCTCGCAGAGTCGTGCGTCGAGAATGCAGTCGCTCATCCCCCCGAGGTGTCAAATTACGAACTGAACGTTGTAAATCTGAGATGTAGGGTTTCAACGACAAGAATAATTCCCCATACAGGTTCATGTAGTCGAATTCAAAATTTTATCAATTACAGTATATGTATATTTAAGCGAATCGAATAAGGATGACTTGTTATCTGGTTGCTCGATTCCCTCTTTCAGATTCTTCTGTTTGACCTTGAGTCGAGGTTGAAGAATCTCCCGCAGCGTTAGCACAATTTGACCTTGCACAATTTTCATTCTACGATGCGATTCCAAATAGATTGCTGTTATCGAAAGTGATACGATTGTGTCTTTCAGGTAGATTAGCGCTCCGTACCCATTCGTGGTACCGATCTCTTCGAAACTGTTCTCTCTCCTTCATGGCTCGTTCTTGTTCTCCTTCTTTTCCATGCGAGTGCCCCATTTTTAGGTTAAGTTTCACAGATGCTACCTCAAAGGATTTTCGTTGCAAACTAATTTTATGATATAGTTGCATTGTTACTTATAACTGAATATCTTAGAAAATGCATTTGTTTGTTTGTTAAACCTTCAAGTGCATTATTGCTATTAACGAGATAGATTCTGCAAAGTGTAAAAAGTTGATCGAGATTATGCAAGGAGTATATAATGTTCTGAAGAAGGGATCATCGATTGCAGAAATTGAAAAATGGACGAAATTTGGCATTAAAAATATCAGACTTTTGAATGAAATTTTGAGAAACTTCACTCTTACGATCGGAGAGAAAACCAAAACTTTAACAACGATCGGAATTCTGAAATATCTGAACGAAAAGTTTAAACAACAACTTCAAAAAAGAGACGGAGGAACGGCGAGAGAGAGAAGAAGTGACAAAGTGCGTTGGGATGACTTGGAATCTGCCTTTAAGGGAAAAATAAGGACTGGAGTCATTGCAAACTTGCGACACAAGGACTTGGGCCGTTTCTTGGAAGATTCCACAAAATTGTTTACTGCGAGAGTAAAAAACGCACTACGAAAGGACGGAAATTTGAAAGTGAACGTCGTCTTGTCTTGTAAATTCGAGACCATGAAAGCTGACAAGATTGTCGAAGAACTCAAGTTCTTCAACACTAAGAACGAAGTTATTCTACCGTCCACCGATATCAGCGACTGGTTTAATACATTGTAATAATGTAGAGGAATTCAATTTATTGACTAGAAAAGGTGTTTTTCCCTGCGAATATATTGATAATTGGGAAAAACTCAGAGGATCGATTACCCGTAAAATAAGAATTCTATTCAAAATTAAATAACGAAGGAATTTCAGAAGAAGATTATGATCACGCTTGCAATATTTGGCAGACATTTTGCATTAAAACATTAGGTGAATATTCTGATTTGTATCTGAAAACCGATGTTCTCCTTCTAGCTGATATCTTTGAAAATTTCAGACGCAATTGTTACGCTATATACAATTTAGATCCTTTACACTATTACACTGCACCGGGTCTTTCTTTCGACGCTATGCTCAAGTATACGGCTGTTGAACTTGAGCTGTTGACTGATGTAGAGATGTTGTTGCTTATCGAGAGAGGTATCCGAGGTGGCATAGCTCAATGCTCCAGCAGATACGCCAGGGCTAACAATAGGTATATGGGAGCAGATTTCGATCCAAGCAAAAAAGAGTCGTATCTTATGTACTATGACGTAAATAATTTATATGGTGCAGTTGTGAGTCAATCTTTACCAGTAGGCTCATTCGAATGGGAAGAAAATTTTGAGCAATTGGATATTCTTAATATTTCCGATGACTCTCTTACGGGTTACATATTCGGAATTGATTTGGAGTATCTGATCGAGCTTCAAGAACTTCATAAACATTTGCCACTCTGTCCACAGCAATACACTCCTCCAGGCTCTAGCAATTCGAAATTGATAACTGCGCTCCTCCCGAAAGATAGATCCTCCAAAAAACACTTACGTGTAAAAAACTACGCCAAGTACAGGAGTGCTGTGTATCCTCTAATAAAAAGTATTGATATCAGATTATTGAGGCCAAGTACATAAGTCGCTACATGTTTGCCTATTATATGATCTAGCACTGGCCCATCATTTTAATTGTATTTTCAAAATTTCCTATAACGTTTTCACTACTCTTTTACATTACTACTGTTTGTCGTAGTTGATTATGATTTAATGGTTATTTAATAATTAATAAAAACTTTAGCTGATTCCTTATCGAGTACTACTTGGCGGGTCCGTGCATTTCTTGATATATAACAAAAAGTATTGATATCATATTTTTGAGGCCAAGTACATAAGTCACTACATGTTTTCCTATTATATGATCTAGCACTGGCCCATCATTTTAATTATATTTTCAATATTTCCTATAACGTTTTCGCTACTTTTTTATGTTACTACTGCTTCCCGTATTTAATTATGATTTAATGGTGATTTAATAATTAATAAAACTTTAGGTGATTCCTTATCGAGTACTACTTGGCGGGTCCGTGCCAGGAATTCCAAAGTACTTACTCTTTACACGTGCTCATAGTATTCTAATGCTGTATGTTTGTTATTAAGCTTTTACCGTGATTATTTTTGACGAGTTATTGTTAATATGCTTTCTATAGAAAATTGGTACTGGTTTTGTACCAAATTTATATCAAGAAATGCACGGACCCGCCAAGTAGTACTCGATAAGGAATCAGCTAAAGTTTTTATTAATTATTAAATAACCATTAAATCATAATCAACTACGACAAACAGTAGTAATGTAAAAGAGTAGTGAAAACGTTATAAGAAATTTTGAAAATACAATTAAAATGATGGCTCAGTGCTAGATCATATTATAGGCAAACATGTAGCGACTTACGTACTTGGCCTCAATAATCTGATATCAATACTTTTTATTAGAGGAATACACAGCATTCCTGTACTTGGCGTAGTTTTTTACACGTAAGTGTTTTTTGGGGGATCGAGAACGTAACAAAACGAATCTGAATTATGAAATCGAAATCCCTTCACCAATTAATAAATTGGGAGGTTTCATCGGAGCTGGTGCAGCTAATCCGTGAAAGCCGCGAACTGTATCCAAAGGACACTCAGGTGGGCACTGCACTAGGGCACAGCACTACACCTTCGGAACACTCACAGGAAATTCATAGAATTTCCTGGACATCGCGAGAGCAACACGAGAACTACACGAACGAGAACTTTCTACACCGTATCGAAACACGACTAGAGAAACTATCAACAGATAGTACGGGAGCGCGAGCTAGTTCGTGATACCTCAGTCGGTGCCCTGAGACAGACTACTTTGACAATAGCTAAATTCGAGAACAAATCATTCTGATTGGTCGAGATCCTTATAGCCGATAACTCTTCCATCTCCTTCGAGTCGTCCCTTTAAACCAAATCGAGAGCGTTTGTATGGTGATTGAAAAAATGTATTTTGGTAGCGCTGTTACTTTTACTGCTATACAGTACTTTACATTGTCAGTGTATTATGATAAGCGTCATGGTCGTTGTTATTATCATCACCAACGACGTCTACATTGTTTTTTTTTGTCGTCGTTGGTCAGATATAAAAGGCGACCGCCGTAATCAAGGGGGAGTATCGCGGAATCGTGTGGTGATGAAAGAGTTAGTGAAACTGATAATTGTGACGGTGGTGACGGTGGTGCTGGTGGTCGCCGAGCGACACAGGAAGATGCTGACACCACGCGATGTGCCTCAACATATATGCAGCCAACTTAGCGAAGTTGACGAAAGTCATATGTTGTTAATGAGATCGCGAGAACGGCACCGGCTCTAGATTCTCGGATCCTTAACAGTCGATCATTTTACCGAAGGACGGCAACAGCTCAAGATCCTTTCTAGTATAAGAACGACACAACCGAACATAATATGCGTGCGATTACGATAGTGCGAGACGCGTTGTACGTTTTAATTTAACACGCGGAAAATTATCAATCTTGTAAAGACGTGGGTTTTTATGCCACCAGGCTTTTCCCATATGAGCTAATAAACATCAACCTTATTTCATGGCTCAATCCATGTGTGTTCTTAATTCAAAGAAAGAGAATCATACACATTTATAATCAACACGAACTATTCATACGAAACTACAAAGGAACTTCACAATGAAGGACTTTTGACCATACAGCGTTCCTTAGCGAATCGGTACGTAACACTTTTAAAGAGTTTCGGCGTGCCGTGCTATGTACGGCGGGTGGCCTGTACTTGGCGCGAGACTCAACCGAGTTTCTTGATTGGGAAAAACTAGAAGGGGCCAACTAATTTTCTGCTTGCGGATTAATCGGGGCCCAATTATTTAACTAGGGAACCATAAGGAAGCTGTTAAAGGACCTCAGAAATCAGACTTAAGGCCCACAATATTTTACTTTTGAAGGTCCTCAATATTTTGCCTTTAAAGGCCCCCTGAATTTAGCCTTGTAAAATCCTGAAAAGAAAGCGTGACCATCCTTGAAGAAATCCTATAAGGTTTCCACATGAGGCCCCTAAGAGAATTAGAGAGTGTTAGTCTGGGCCTTGGAAAAACTCTGATAAGTATTCTTAACGGGAAATGACAGAGTGAACTGTAAATAATTGTTCTATGTGCGACGCTATAGGTAGCGACAGGTTCTATGCGACTTTAACACAGCGACGAACTACCTTTGTAGATTGTTAAAAGTGGTGCTTTGTTCACGAAGGAACTTGAACAGCTGGTCTCTAATTATTTTAAGACAGCACATATGCAAAAATCAAAAAATTAATTTTTTTTTGGTATCCAATACTTCAAATAAACCATCAAACGAACAGGAAAAATTAGATTCTAAGTATAGAAGATACTTGTAACAATTGTAGCAGACGTTAATCGTTTTTGGTATAACAGTTTTTTCTTCGAAAAATTAATTTTTTTACGATATAAATGCATAGGATGTACGAACGTGCATGTTTTGTATGGTTGTCTTTCAAGGAAATTCTATGTGCTGTGATAATTTAGTCTTATTAATTAAAAATATATAGAATATAAATTCTAATCTACTGTAAGCAGTTTCAATTACGTATATATTTTTTTGTAAATTTTTTATTAATTTAATACCAATTTTTTATTTTCAGGGGTCCTAGGGGCGCACGAGGCTATAGAGGTATGGCACGAGTTAGCCGAGGCAGTGCATACTTTGGCTACAGACCTACAAGACGACCAAGGTGAATTATATATTAAACTGATATTTTAATCGTATTGCAAGCGATATCGATATGCACATACGTAATGCATATACGAAATACAGGCGTCTCTAGTTAAGTCGATAGTATGAATTTTGACTGCAAGAATCGGCATTCGCGTTTTCTCCATACATTATCAAGAATGGAGTTCCTCGCAAAAACCTAAGTGGACTCCGTGTGGATTGTGTAACACTTGTATAATTCAGTATCTAACCTTTGAGAGTTGGTGCGGTTGTTCAAATAACGGGAAATGCACGAAGTTGTAGTTCGTATTCGCCTTTAAGGCCAGTCTACAATGCAACGGAACACGTAACACGGAACACATAAGCGGCAAGATATTCAATTGTATATTTACCTAATTCCATTGGATCCTCCAATCAAGAAGGAGAAAATCGTTTTTAAAACCGAGCGTTTACTATGTTTCTACGATTTTGGCGATGTCTTGGACATAGCAACGATACGGAAGCGGTTGCTAAGGGGCTATCTACAATGAGACGTAAGCGTATGACGGATGACGGAAGTCGTTGTCGGAGGACGGAACGTGTGTTCTACAATGAAGTCGTTTGACGGATGTCGTAGTCGGCTGTCGTAAGAGAGTTGGTCATCTCCGATCTCTTCCGTCTTCCGACAACGTTAACGTGCACGCCAGTGGCAACACCGCCCTTTGCTACAAAACATTCTGTACTCTGATTGGCTGCGGAATCGAAGTGATACGCGTTACGGCAACGACATTGTGGATTCATGTCGGAACGAAGACGGAACGCCGCACCGTCTCCGGCAAAACGATAACGACAACGACTAACGCTTCCGTCTAATGCTTACGACAACGTCTCATTGTAGATAGCCCTTAAGATCGTTAAGGATTTCACGGAGCACGTAACGTCATTTTCAAATGTCACCTGTCACTTGTCATTACCTGTCAATATACAGGGTGTTCCAAAATTACCTGACCCGGTGGGTATGACGGTGTTCGGGAGGCTTCACTGATCAGGAAAATGACTTTTCTCTTCTTCTCTTCTTCTTTTTCTCCTTCTTTTTCTCCGGAAGGTCATAGTTTTTAAATGGGAGCAGATTAAAGTTGACCAATCAGAGGGAGGCGTCAAGAAAAACGTAGGTACCTACGAACTCTGAGCTTTCTTCCCTCGCTTTTGTTTCTCGGTGGCTTCAGGCAGGATGACGTCAGTACATGCCTATTGGAAACAAGAAACGAGAAACAAGAAATAAACCACCGAGAAACAAAAGCGAGGGAAGAAAACTCAGAGTTCGTAGGTGCCTACGTTTCTCTTGACGCCTCGTTCTGATTGGTCAACTTTGATCTGCTCCCATTTAAAAACTAAGAGCTTCCGGACAAAAGGAAGGTCATTTTCGTGATCAGTGAAGCCTCCCAAACACCGCCATACCCACCGGGTCAGGTAGTTTCGGAACACTCTGTATAAATATTTAAAAAAATGTTTATGCGTTTGTTCATAGATAAGTAAATCATTACTTCATTTTTAAAGTCACGATGACTTTTATCGTAGAGAAATTTGATTTCTCTAAAGATATTGATAATGATCTCGTCTATAGAGTTTGTAATGACAGGTGACAGGTAATGACATTTGAAAATGACGTTATGTGCTCCGTGAAATCCTTAATGACCGTAGAAACCGCTTCCGTATCGTTGCTATGTATTTTTAACGTAAGCCGTTATAAATTACGGAGCGGGGCATGCTCGATGTTATTCATCACGTTTCGTGCTCCGTGAAGTTCTTAAAGACCTTCTCCTTCTTGATTGGAGGATCCAATGGAATTAGGTAAATATACAATTGAATGTCTTATCGCTTATATGTATGTTCTATGTTCCGTTGCATTATAAAATGGCCTTTAGGGAGATACAAATATAAATAGGGAGTTTAAGAATGCTTAAAAAGTGACGGTAATATTTTCACGTTGCCATTGGTAGTTGAATACAGTAGTTGGGTATCGCTTAAGGCGAGCAGTTGCGCTATTTAGAATTGAGTGAACTCAACAATTGGTGAAACAATACAATGAAAGGGTTTAATAGTATTATACCTCACTGACAATATGTGATCCAAATAAACGGCGCCACAAGCGATGTGCAACTAGCGTATTCATATTGCCAATGTTTGCCTGAATAATTTGTGGTAGAAATAATATTTTTTTTAACAGATAAAATTCACGCTTAGAGAGATACCCATTCTTAATAGAAAACAAAATATTTCGAGTTTGACTTGCTCTCTGAACAATTCTATAGTTTCTAACAGTCTATAGACATAGTTCTTCGTAATTTTATTTTAATATAGAATTTTTCTTAATAGGTTTGAACTTTAATTTACTGGAAAAATCATTTAAGAAACTGAGTGGACTTTGGGTTACAGTAGAACCTCGATTTCTTTTATCTTAATTTTCTTCGAACTCCCTTGGATTATGAGCCCTTCTCGCTAATAGAAAGTCAGGATAATAGCGTTCACTGCAGAGCGTATTGCCACTCTTTCTTATTCGCCATTGCCAGTATTCGGTCACATTTGGCATACTCGTTCCCGTACAACGAATTAGACGTGACTAGTACAACCTCGATCTTCTTCGTAATCCTTCGAGCAAACAAGAATCGAGGATCCACTATATATATTTAACTTATATCCGCTATATATATTTCTCTTAAGTTCTGAAGTTCACAATGAATTCTGAAACAATATAAGTGTTATATATGCACTTCACAGTTTCTTAGAGAAAATTATAAACTTGGCATCAGAAGATATCGAGTTATACAAAAATGAGTATGCTCATGTTATCTGTCCATGATCATCTTTGTTTTGCTACTTATTTCGCATAAAACTTGATTAATGATTAAAACCACATTATTTGAAACTAGGACTTAATCCCTTTTACAGCATTAACGTAATTATGCAAATATTTTTGTTGCGCTCCGGAACACATGGACGCGATAGTGCTTATATCTTTTATTTTGTGACTGGTTTTAACGATTTTTAGGAAACTTGGTATCGGGGGTTTTCGGATCGTTGAATTTTTATAGAACGTCGTATCTAAGTATTTTTTGAGTCGTAGAATAGGTATTTGAGATCAAAACTGAAAATTATTGCAAAATCATGGATTCGATATAGTGGTTAAAACATTTTAAAAATCTTATAATTTGTTAGAATTCCATGTTTCAATGAACGAAGCGTAACGAAAGGTTCTTTTTGATCGCTGACTACTAATAAGTTGAAGTAACAATTGTCCCTTTGATTAGCTAGTGAATTGAGATTCACGACCGCAGAACGTGTCACTCTCTGTGGCTGTGATACTAGGGTTTTGCATTTTGTTTTTTTATTTCTTATTTTTAGAAGTTTATAATTTTATATTATATATTATTGTTTCAAATTTTAAAATTATTTTTTACTACAATATTGAGTGATCCAAAAAATCTTTTGGTATTATATTTCATCAAAATTTTACTACTTTTTTGTCTTCTGAGTAAAATTCACTTATTGTGTAATTTTGCATACCGCCTAAGGGGTTAACGTTTAATCTATTACGCAAACTTGATATTAGAAAAAGATTATACTTTGACAACGAAAGTCTTACAAATTTTTAAATTTAATTTACAGTTTTAGGGTGTGTTTCGATATTCTCTCAACGCGCTATAAGAATGGTTGTGTCTTTACTCTATTGCATGCAGGTAAACAGCAACACAACGATACTTGTAGTACTGGCAGTGAATTTCGAAACTTAATTTTAGCTTAGTGATCTAGCGTCCCATGTTTTTGATATGCGAACTTGATAGTGTTGTACTGTAAAAATAAAAAAGTCTACTGGTTTTAGGCGTGATCACATGAAACATTGGTTGAAACTTCTACGAAAAATCTAATTTCGGATTTAATATGGATATAATCGCATAGTAATATTCATAATATCCAACAGTTTCAGTTTGAAAGTTCTACGTCCGTGAGATTACTTTTTTTTCGGCAGTGAATGTATGAGGTGCGATCGTGAATGCAAGACAAACCAGTGTGCTTCGATATTATATTTACTATTTGACAATCAAGTATTACATATATTAATATATACAGTTATAGTATGCGTAAGTTTGTGTAATTTTAGAATCAGTTTGTTTTAATTTAAGGGAAACTAGAGTGTGTTTTTACAAGTGCAACACAGTATACTTGTTTTAGTTTTGAAAATAGGAACTAGCTTTGTATGATAACAATTATATCATAGGTGTCAATACAAAAAGTATTGCCGTTATCCGGGAACAGACTCTTAGGTTATCACAATCGTAATTCATATAAACATACGTTTTTTATGTCTAGTTTAGAGGATTTCTCTGTTAAATCTCAAGTTTAGTTTCAAGTGATATATCTATGGTATCATATCTTATATTTAATTAATTGATTTCACTAAAAAGCGATGGATGTAAGGATTTAGAATAAACTTATGGATACCGTTTCCAGCAATATTATATGTCAAATTTGTCTAAACTATTTTTTTCGCAATTCTTTATAAATTACGCTACAAGTTAAAGTTATAGGAATTTTACTTAAATTCATGCTTTTAAAAATTTGTTTCACGATGACTTCTAAACAAATAGTTTGGAAATCTAGACGTTCCTTAGACACACGCGAAATGAAATACAATCAAATCTCTGTCCCTGTCTATTGCTGAGATCATAAAATTCAGTTCCTGTGACGAAGATCACGTGATTATTCTTGATCAATGAAAATGCTTGAATAGGGCTGTAGAAATGAATGTAACAAAAATTTTTTTTATAACTCACCAGTTTCTACATGATAAATTATATTTTCGTGACCATTTGCAAAAAGTGGTTTATGAGAATTTGATGTGTAGTCCACATCTCTAGACTTGACTCGTTGCAAGATTTTTCTAGTTGAAAGGGTTGGAAGTTAGGTTACATACGTAAATAAACACGGAGTTCTCGCCACGCATTTGTACAACACGCGTAAAGATCAGGGACTGAAACACGGAACCGGACTGAGGACACTGACTGAGCGGACGGGGACTGAGGTTTGACTGCATATAGTTTTTATATAATTTTCTTAACATATAAATTTTAATAAAATTTATTTTTTTTTATACAAAATGGATTTTATTTTAATTGTGGATCGTGGTATTGATTTTTATATTTATTATAAAAACTTTGACAGCAAAATGTTATATGTAGTGTATAATTTTAATTTAAACACATGCAATTGCAAGTTCATTGGAATATGTAATGATGTATATCCTGTATAAAAATTTTCAATTTTTTCCATCAGAACTTTCTATTATCTTCGATAGTGACATTATTGGCAAAGGATATTTCTATATGAATTAATATTTTTAAATTTTTATTCGACTTATATTTATATATATTGTGACTCATTAAACTTCACTTTCGTGCTCACATAATAATCGTTTACGTAAACATTATTTATATATTTATCAGTGACTTTGCTGTGATACGGATGTGTATCATGAATATTAATAGTCGTGTCCTGTTACCTTGCATTAATTAGGACTGTATTAAAGCTTCATTTTTATAGTTTTCTTCATTTAACCAAGTATTATCATGCATTAAAAAAATTTGCTGATTGATTGTTTGATGATGGATGTATGTACCAAGAAATTATTATTTTAGTTGCATAGCCGATAATACTAAGAGTTTTTCAATTAAGTGCACAATCGAGAAATAATTAAAGAATATTTGTTTATAAATAATGCAGGCAAGAGTTCAAGTTTATTATTATATTAGTCAAAAGCAAAGTTTTTATTGTAATGCGGTTTAATAAAGAAATTCAATGTTTAAAATGTTTAACTCTCTTCGCATCATACGGAACTCCCCACCGCTCAATATGCGTGGTCTCGACGTGTTGAGCGGCGCGCGGGAGACCGGGCGTAGTGTTATAACACGTGCAGAAAGCCCTCAAGTTAAACGGAAACATGGCCGATGCGGCTGGCTCCCCATGCTCGAAGTCACGTGTGTTTTATTGTACAGTAAAACCTCTCAATAACGTAACGCTTGGGACCAGCCATCTCTCAATAATGTAGTTTATACTTTTTTCCCTGTGATTGCGGAAAATGGGGACAGCACGAAGGAGAATGTACAGAAAGTGGGGATAGACCATTACGTTATTGTAACATTTTACGGAGGGAGAAACCTACGTTATTGAGAATTTTATGCTGTTGAGAGGCTTTACTGTATCGCCGGTACTGTAAACCGAACGGTGGGAAGTTCACAAACACATTAATACCTACTGTACCACTGCACATAACTATAATACGCGCTGTGATTGACTGGCGCAATCACGGAGATTTCCTGAGCATTTTGATTCGGAGAGAGTTAATGGTAGTCGTATTAATGATGTAATTAAAGTTCAATTTTATCAACATCAGGAAAGCTCTGGCGAATATGCATCTTACAATATTTTTTTTCTACTCGAGACTACCATTAATATTATCGAATATGACGTGTTGGACGAATTTAAATATACGTATACAATATTGTATTCCGAAAATACTATTAAAAAAATAATAATATTGCATTGCAAAATTACCACTTTAAACACGACTTTGAATCAGGTAATACTCTCTTGAAATTGTATGAATGCTGCTGCCATTTCGCAGACTAGCATATAGATTAGACTAGGACAAACTAATCGGGGCTGAGGACAAAATAAAAAAACACTTCTGATGGGGTACTTTAAACTCCTATAGAAACGTAACGTAAAAATTGCGATTTCACGATTACTTATACCGTTTTATTCCTGCACCTTACAACGATAGGTCAACAAATTTGAATATCATTTTTAGTTACATATATGGTATAAATAATGAACAAATTTATGTTTTGCAATCGTAAGATCCTAATATAACAAATAGGGAAAAAATTTTTAAAATATAGATGTATGACTGTTTCCCATTATTTTGAGTGTCTGTAATGTTCTGTAAATCGGGAAAAAACTGTATATATATTTGTAAATAGATCAGTATAAACCTTGTTTCATAAAATATGCTTTACTTAAAAGTAATAACGTGATTTTTTGTTTCCGACACAGGAGTTATCGACGTGGTTACTATATGCCGTACTGACCATTCTATAATTCCATGCCACCTATTCAGATTACTTTCAAGGTGAGTCAGTCTGTATTTCTATAGTAAATTTTGGTGTGCATTTCGTTGTTCAAATGAAAGTATTCTGTTTGAAGAGAGCTTCATTAAAATTAATAAGACATGTTTTAGATTTCAACTCCTAACTTTTAAATATAAATTGATATATCTCTTTTAATTAATTTACGTTTTCACGGTACCGAGTTCAGGCCCACATATTTTTTTTTAAGAAAATGTTTTTTTATTATTAATATATTTCATTCAAATTTAGGTTCCACGATTACTTTTTGTTATGACAAAGAGTAGTCTTCGCGTGTTTCATTGTCTCGTTCAGAATCACTATGTAGGGACGAACGTACGTACGCATGCGTGCGTGTGTATTCATAGTCGAAAATGTCTCTATCCAAACTTACAAACGAGCCGTTGAATCGGTTGGGTTCAAATTTAAATAAGACATAAAGATCCAAATATAGATAGCACAGTAATATTGAAGATGCTTAGGACTTCCAGTTTCTAAGTTTCATATTTGTGAAATGAATTTTTTTCACAATAGTGAATGCATGAGATGTAACCACATGGGTTGGGCAATTGCGACTCAATGAAAACTTGTTTTCCCAGATATTTTTCATTAAACAAATTACTTTCGAGAAAGTAATGTAATATATTGTTACCATATATGGACTGTGATTTATGTATATGAGAAAGGATCTTATTTGTGAAAAACGCGTAACTTATTGATTGCAAATAACGATTCAAGATAATGCTCCAAGCTGACTGAATTTTATAACTTGACTGTGCCACAAAATTTAAAAGTTTTTTGAATAGATTTTTTGTTTTATTTTGTATCGTTACATATCATTGTTTCACAACACTTTTAGTTTGGGTGATTCATTTCTGAAAATATTGTTGCTTGTGACGTGAAAGCGAAGTTAGCACTTTTATCAGGGATTATAGAATTACGAGGGTCTTTTTACTTTCACTCAATGTTTTCAAATATCTGTTCAAATATGTTACTCTGATACATCCTCTATACTGTTTTTTGGATGAGTAAATTGTACAGTTTTATTCAATAAAATTAAATTTAATATTGTTTCTCCCGTAAACAATGATTGAGAAAGGAATGAATTCATAAAAAAGCCGTATGAAAATGTAGTAGGGCAACTTAGATAAATGTTTGTTCTCAGATTTGTGTATCGTGTTCGATTTAATATCAATATAATATAAATATGAGAAGCAACAGGTTTTATTGCAATAAAGGTTATAACACCACGCGTCCTCATTTTATACATTTTCTTCTGCAATATTTTTCTCTAAAGTTTTATTCAAATAGTTGAAGGGTCAGTTATCTTTAAAAGTTGTTAGTTTTGTTGTACACTTCCTGACCATGCGAAGACGGTCGAAATTATAGAAATATTTGTTTTTCACCATTTATGTCTCTGTTCTTAAGTAGTAGCTGTTAATTTTCAAAAAAGAATACTTTTTCATTTGAACAACAAGTCAAGGCACTTTTAAATTCGTGGAGAGGATATTACGCTGTCTTTGTTAAGCAATTATAAAGATTTTATAAATTATATTTTTTATAACTATAATTCATTTAAATTTATTATGATTAATTACGTCGGCGATAGTAATCTCTCCTCAATAATCATAATTTGTAGTCTTAATTGTTAATTAATAGATAGCACCAATTGTTCTATTATCTTCGGTCTATCTTAATGCACATTCGATTCACAATGAGTAATATCATAACAAAATACTTACAATTTTTTCTTCGCTTTTGAATTGGTTCAAGAATGTTTCGCAATTTTATGGTTGCAATGCGTAAGTATGTTTCATAATATTCAACTTTTCAATTATTACTCATAATACTTATCACTAAACTGTTAATTTTGTTCACGGTTTTATAAAGGTGCAGCAGGGTATAATAAAAAAAAAGTTTGTGCAGTATATAATAGATACATTCAAATTAAATCTTCATTAGGTAAAACCTTTTAAACTAAAAATTATCCAAGCTAATGTTTATTTCTCGTGCTACTTATACCGTTACTGGCAAAACGCTCAACGATAACCACGAAGGTTTCTAAAAGCCGAAAATGTATTAAATGGAATTTGCGGTGGACATTCATTCAAGTTCTCTTAGGAAAACATACTAATGTAACTCTTTGCGGTCGAAATATTTTTTTGGAATGGAAATTCTGCCGGCAATATGCCGTCCTTTGACCGCAAAAAGTTGAATTAAGTATACGCATGCTAACTACATTTGCGAAACACAAAAAGATTATCATAGTAATTGGATCTGGTTAAGTGACAAATATTTACAAAAGATTTTTTAGACAGTTGAGATCTCTGACTTCTGTTTCATGTAATATTGTATGGTTACGCAATGTGAATCAATTGATTCCATATATGATGTTTTGAAAGAGCAGCCAAAAGTGCAAAGATTACAATTCTAAGTTGGACGTAACCGTCCTTTGGACGATGGTTCATTTTCTACTGTACTTATTTTTAATAAAAATCTGAGACGACCGAGGAATGTAACGATTGGTGCTGAAAATCGAGTATACAGGGTGGGACTGATATAGTAGAACAAGCGAAAAGGAGGTAATTCTTCATGAAACAATAAATCTAAAACTGAGGATAATTTATATATCTACTGGGCTTCATTTTTGATAAAGATGGCTTTGAAAATCTGTTACATGTACGTAGGCTTGACGAAGTCTCGTCTCAGTGGATCTAGCTATAGGCTAGTATTTTCCTTCATATTTTTCCACAATGTTCTGATTTAGAGTGATTTCAAGAATTCGACCAATATTTTAGGTTTAAAACATTGTTTATTTTATTAATCACTTTCCTGGCACGTACGTGCGCCCTGTTAACGCACAATAGTGCATATCGGTTGACTTATGAGCACGTGTCAGTCAAGTGGTTAATGTTCAAATCTTTGTGTTTTCTGCTACTGTATCTTAATATTTTTATAGCCTGATGAAGATTAATTGATAATGAATATCAAACAAACCGGCTGATGACACTGTATTCAAATACAAAGAAAAATGGTGGTCTCTAACAAGATTCACTAAATCGAGTTTTAGTCAAGTGCATGGATCCTTCACAGATTTTCAAAGTTGGTCTTTTTTTCCCCTCAAAGAACCAAGCCTGATGGAGTAACAATTTATTTTGCAATGTCAGTTTATTCTCTTTCCAGGGTTCACCTTCTTTTAGCTTGTACTACAATTTTTACTCCCCACTGCATATGGGTACAAAAGAAGTTAAAAATGATGATGACAATAGTAATGATCACACATATAAATACTTCCTTTTTGCCTAAATTTTTATTACAATCTACTTCACTAGGCCATATGGTATTGATATTTATATCCAACTTTATATACAGGGTGTTCGCCTCAATTAGCACCATTACTTTATTAGTGCTTTTTTGACCCACGTAAAAATTATGGTGTTGATTAAATATATCGGATGTTATAACTAATGTATAAGTGTCCAGACGTCGAGTGCGAGTATAGTTTCTTCAACTCGTAGTTAAATCTTTTGTCATCAGAAGCTAGAATGTCACATTCTTTATATTAATAGGTTTCTTTGCTCACGAGTTTTTGTTCCTTCAGATAAACTGTTATCTGTCAATTTATATGTTGCATCATTTTTATGATAATAACAAAGCGTGTCTTGCATTTTCATTTCTAATTATAAAGTATAATAATAATAATGATTGGTATTATACGGAAAATCTAAATGACCTGATTTGACCACACGGGTAATAAATACTAGTTTGCTCAGGAGCGAGTCTTGGATAGCATAGAGAATGAACAATGAACATAGTGGAATATAACAGATTATGTAGAAAACAGTTATCATTATCATTCCGAATTTAATTCTCATTAGATTTGTTAGTAACGAAGATTTTGCTGCAAAGTGGAACTCACAATCAGTTCAGGGATTTACTGCTAACCAGACTAGTAACTATTACTGATCTCTTTCCTTCGTGTAACCTAAATAGCATTGCAAGACTTTCTTGATTTAAAATAATTTCTTGATCACTGTAGCATTTTTCATGTAAGTGGCCTAATCAGTTTTATCTTAATAATGATAAAAGACAATCATTCATATCTTTTCTAACTTGCAGATTATTACTGTAATTTCATTTATTTAACCAACACTGTATTTTCAATTGCATAATGAACCAATGTAGTTTTGGTGACCACCCTGTAGAACAGTTTACATCCACGAGCACTAGGATATAAAAACGAGAGCTTCGACATTGACACATTCATTTCAATAGTGTTAATATTTTTTATTTTTATCATTTCGAAATATTGAATGTGTACGTTAATATAATTGTATATTACGATAATTTTTCAAGTATTATGTGTAAAATCGTGCTGCAACAAAAAGATAAACGTTCGAGACTTTATTAACATTGTAGGCCATATGAGGTATTTCGAAAACTTACTAATATCACAGTATGATAATACATTTAAAATTATGATTCTCAAAATTTAAAGAAATTACTCGACTTTCTAAATTTTAATATTAAAATATTTTTTTTTTTACGATTTATACATTTTTGTGTTCGAGATGTACTTAAAACATAATAGAATTCTTTTTTATGTATGGTCTTTTAATATATGAATTGATTGGCAGTTGCTGCAGTTAAAATCATATGATGCTTCCTTAATTGAAAGAAGTATTTAATATGACAATCAGTGTATGATTTTATGTTGCACGAGAAGCTTGGACGCTGATTCTTAAACAATACACATGATTTCGAAATTTATTTTTTTTCATCTTTATATTTTTACACTTTGTTATTGTAAAATTATAAATTAATGTTTCATAGGCACTTCAAGGATTAAGTAAAAACGTTGATAATATAAATGAATTTAAAATTAATAGTCCATATTGATCTGCATTGAAATTCATTGGAATATTTATTACTTTGCTAGTTATCACATTGTAATCCAACAAAGTCTAAAATTATATAATTTATTACGCTGGCATAGCATTTCATAATATTTGTACTTGATTTAGAAATAGAAAATATAAAAAGGTTTTTTTTTTTATAAATAAGTTATTAGTATTAGTTGAATACTGATTTCCAGTGATAATAATATTACGCTTCTTTTATTATGAACAAAGCTAGTAAATGAACCTTTCTTTATTAAACATTCATTTGACTGACTACTGAATTTAAAAACGTGTCTTAAGCATCTCGGACTACTTATAGTTTAACTTACCTTACTCACACAAATACGTATATTTGATATGCAGAATATATGGCCTCGTGAGTAATCATTTATTTGTATTAATAATAGTAATAATCATAATATGTTTATAATTTATGTACGATAATGCAACGAAGCACAAAACTATGGGTTTCAATATAGACAGTGATTCGCTGTAATGAAAGCTTTTCTTCTGTCTTATTTTAAGGACGATGGTAACCTTTGAAGGTCTAAAAAAAACAAGCTAAAATTTTAGAATTTTGTTTCAAAAAAATTATATTAGGTACTGATATGAAACATTGTATGAATTATTAGTCTGGCTTTTAAATACATGAAAACTTTTTTTTTATTGATACATTTTTGGCTCGTGCTGGTCGTGTCTTTTTCACGATACCGATCTATGGAGTCAGCATCGCTCTTATAGATTCCTCTGAAATCAAAATAACGAACGAATTCTTAATCTTGCATGACTGTCGTTATGGAATGAATCTAAATAAAATCTTGTTGGCGAATATTAACCTTTTTTTTCTGCACCGAAATAAGGCAAAAAATTTGAGTTAAAATTAAACTTTTATTTTAATGCACCTGCTATTTTGCGAATTTTGAAAATTTTTAGTTTGCAATAGGTTTATTCCACAAAGTCAATCATGTGGATTAAACGTTTGCTTCGTCATTTTGGTTTTAGACGAATTTGAGACGAAATTCTGCACTACGCGGAGCGGTATAGTGAAAGAAACATTCACCCCTTTTGTGCGGCCTATAAAAAAGCCAAAAATATATTTAAAGAAATCTTTTTATATACAAAAAAGACAGATTACAAAATCCTACAAAGTTATATTTCGATATCTAATACAATTTTTCTCAAAAAAATTAAAAAATGCAGCTTTTTTACCCGATTAAAGGTTACCATATCCCTTAACATCAAATGTTCTATGTTTACAATTTAGAGAAATTTCATTTCTAGTTTATATTTGCGATTTTTATGAAATTTTGTCCCATGATAATGTACAAGGTGTTTAATTTAATTTAACCACGAGCAATATCTCCGTAATACGAAGACCAGTAGTAAATTGATTTCTGTCAAGGCCATGACTTTTCAGATTTCAAGGTCATTGACTGTTTTTTTTTTCTTTTTTGAATAGGACGATATATTTTTATTAACACACTGTTGTAGCCATACAAAAAATTTCAAGGACACGTGCCATATTAACCTTCAGGTGACTTTAAAAAAAAAAAAAATTTATTAGGAAAGAACTAAAAAATTCTTAATTCATGTTTTGATACAAGATATTTATCTTAGGGTTTTGAAATTATAGCGAGCCGGCGGAAACCTTAACAAATCGATATAGGAAAAAGTGTTTCATGTTAAAGGAGGGAATATTACCCCTATATATTAGTCGTTACCTTTGGGACGTTATAATATATTTCGGCTCTCCAAAAATTAATGAGATTTAAGTTCGTCTATTTTGTTGTGGGACATTGTTTATGGATTTTGCTATTTTTCATCAGGCTAGGATTTTAAGATGAAAGATTCAATATTCAACCTATTGACAATGTTTATTGATTATACTTTTATGAGCCAAGTGAGGTTCACAGATGTTAATACGTTTCACGATTGACAAAATATATATATATTTTTTCGTTTTGGTAAACTTGTTAATGTTGCAACGTGACTGTGATGAAGACCAAAGGGCTGGTCTAAAAGTATCAATATCTAACAAAATTAATAAACATAACGTAGAACGGAGATATTTTAGATATCTAAATTAGGTGACACACCGTGTATATTTCTCGAAATACGACAAAATTTATAAGAACAAAATATGACAACTTTTTCAGATTCAAAAGAATTTATTTGCCTTTACTACTTTTGTTTTCATGATTTGATTATCTATTTTATATCTCATATCATCTTTTAACTTCATTCCTATTTTGGAAATTAACTACAGGATTTTTAGAGCTGTTTAAAATTTTTCAATCTTATCCAGTTTAGCCTAATTAAGTATTTCTAATTTTTTAAATTACATGTACGTTTAAAGACAGAAGCGAACGTCTTACTTACGTGCTGAGCTTAAATGAACAAAATGTATTCCTAATATATTACTTACAACGTTGTGCTTGGTTGTTTCCACTCGGAACAACAAACTTTAATGGAGGTGTGGCATTGGGGTATTGCATATATTACATTCATACACAAAAAATTATAATTTTATAGATTCCAATAAGAATTGTAAATTTTCTGCATTATTTACCATAAAGCTATGTTAACATATGACTTTTCGGATCTCTTAATATTATTAATGCCCTAGTGTCACACTTTCAGTTATTTTTTTTATTAATATAATTTTTTCTTATATTGGTAGCAAAACTGACATAACCATGACGAAAACTAGAAATTCACGTCACTTCTTATGATATGTCCACAGAAAAAAAACACATACGATGGGAAAAAAGAGAAAGAAAAGACCTCATGTCAAAAGAAAAAAAAGATTGGACAAAGACGGGCACAATTATTTGTATTTGATGATTTAGTACTCTACACCACATACGAAAGCTAATAAAAGTCGATTATGACAGCTATTCACTATTGTAGTTCAATTTATTTATTAAAAGTTATTTCTATCCATTTTTAATAATGATTTTTTAATTATAATGCACGGTCTCGTTGGAAATTTTTATCCGAGAAAATAGCGTACGTCACTAGTTATTCTTCGATTTTTGTATTTACGAAGTATATAAATATGCTTGAATTATTCGTAAAAAATACGTTTTCATTGTTATATTCTTAATAACAAAGAAAAATACGATATTGCTTAAATAAGCAATATTATATTCTGTTTGCTCTCATGCCATCACCTGACGGGAAAAAAATCCAACAATTCTTATTACATTATTAGTATTTTGCTCGGATAAGCGAAATGACAATAAGAAATTATTTGTCTTCAAAGTTTCGTGCACTAAGAATTATCTACATTTAATCAGTTAATAAATAATTTAACGCATACACGGTCTTATATTTTTTGGTCATGATATCTGTAGATATTTTTCATTATTTTACATTTCTTTGTTTTTTGGAAGATTTGCTTTTCTTTTTTTTTAAAGTAAAATTTACTTTTTGATGTATACAAATAATGCAGTATATTCTGCTATATGCCTGTAATACAGACCAAGGTTCTAATTATCTCATTTTATTCCTTTATAATAAAAAATGTTTCCATGTCATTCCTGGTATTGCGTATATGCGATTTTAACTATTCTGTTCTCATTTAAAGCATCCTGCTTTATACGTGTTCATATAAATTTCATTTATGCTGCTTAAAGTGATTTGATTTATATAGAATTAATTAATTTCAACTTCATATACTTTTGATAATGTGCAAAATTTTTTAATTTACGATTGATAAGGCAGTATTGAATTAGGATCGATTTCCCTATAGAAATTCACTTGTATTTTCTATGAAATTTCATATCATGACACTTTATCGTTAATAAATTATACATTAAGACTGTGTATGTAACGCGAATATATTTTTGGTTGAGTTGAACTACAATGTGAATGCTTAGGTATATGCCGTGTAACTGTAATGATTATAGTGAATCTTGTACGTGCACGTTAAATGAAGGTTGCCAGAAATATCGGAATAAACCTTTCGGTTCTATTGATATATTATTATATTAACCATCGTAGATACTGTCATTTCAGTGCAGACGTGTGCAACCTTCATATTCGTGATCCACACTGACTATATCATTTTAGTTTTACATTAAATGTCTGACTACTAATTTATAAGATGAGTAAGTACTATGAAATGCACTTTTCTGAAGCGTGAATCATCTCGAAATGGCGAAATAGGACTTAATGGAAGGGCTTGATCTCATCGGCATGTTTCAGACCATCAGATTCGATCATAAACGAGTCTCTGTCTCCCTTTCTCTACCTAAATTACACACACACACACGCACACCCATGCACAAACATTCTCTCTACCTCTATTTCCATCTTTATCATAATCTCCAACTCTATCTCCATCTCCATCTCGATCTCAAATGCCTTCGTCTAATTTCCTTACATTCGAAATCCTCTTCCATGTCGCCAAGTATTTTACAGGTGCGGCGTGGCATCGGGATCGATTGATTGATCGATCGATTCACACGATACGAACCTTATGAACGATTTTCATGTTCTAGTAGAGAAAGAAAAAAAAAAGATGAAAATAGGTAAGACAGAACTGTAAAATATGAATGTAAAATGACACTGGGTGGTAAATAAAGACTCTTTTGGTTTACGTAATTTTAATGATTAATATCATAATATATCAATACCTTATCCTTCTCTTATAAGACGTTCTACAGACGTAGTTCGACAAAGTTAATTGATATTTTTTAATGTATTGAAATTGATAAATATATATCTAATACAATTCATGTTTTTAAAAATAACAATTATTGTGTTACCATTTAGACTGAGTTTATTCATCCAGATTTTTCACGGGTGTAGAACGAGTGGAATGTGAAATATAAGGTAAGTACAGTTTAATGCTCTGATATTAAGTGTTCTTACCTATTTAAGGTGGAAATCACATTTAGGTGACACTTAAAGGTGTAACCGTAATCCCTGGGTTCGTTTCATAGTTGCCACTTGTCACCTTTTCCTTGGCTGTTTTGTGGTCGCGGCGTTTACCCGTCGAGCCTTAGACGCTGCGTGTTCCTGGCCCTTTCCGGGCGGTGCTCAAGTCCTTGACTATTACTTTTTGCTGCAGTCTTTTTGGCGCCCCGGTTCTCTAGGATCCTTTCCTCTTCCGGTACCGGCTACCTGCTGCACCCAGGGCGATTACCGTGCAAATCCGTGGTCGCCACAAAGTTTTCTTTCAGCCGTTCTCTGTTCTACGGTCGCCAGCTGATGTGTTAAAGAACCTATCGGCAGGTTTTATGGTTTTTAGACAGGGAGAATGCCCTGGAGTACCTCTTCCTCTTTGCCCGGTGATGTCGTGCTCCTTGGTTGACCGGAACTCCTCCAGATCGAATACGCTAATTGCGTGCTAAGCTACTATGCTTCCTTTTCGATATCGATATCCAATAGTCACAGCCAAGGTCGTCGGAGGTTATGATGCACAATGCTTTCATAAATTCAGTTTAGACTTTTATTCACTTAATCACGTTTACAGAAGCTCGGTTCGAGTTATACTGCAGTGCTAGGGAAATCCGGACTTTTTATATACCCGATTCCCCCCATTCCGAGTTCTTTGGTTTTACTTAACTACAATAAATAATAATTATACAACAAAGTTTTCTTAACATTACTTGCTCCTCTCTCTGAGCCTAGTCGATTGCATTGCTCTAGAATGCCTTCCGTTGACCTTGGACCGTTCTCGCCTTGACGCGACCGCCATTTGCGCCGTCCGACGGCTTCCTCGTCTAATGCTTCCGAGTGTCCTTAGGTCGTTTTCTTAAATTCCGGAAGGTCAAGGTCGTACGGTCCCTGGGAGTCCCTGATGAGTGGTGACCCTCGCGGCCACTTTATTCCTTCTTCCAGAATTTCACTCCCTACTTGACATTGCTCGAGGTCATGGGTTGATGTGTTGCTCTACCCTTGGCTAGTGCTCTCCCATCCCCGAAGGTCAAGGTCGTCGATCTCCTGGAAGTCCCTGATGAGTGGTAGCTTCCCTCCCTCACTTGGTTTCTTTGTGGAGTAAGGGTCTTATGTGTCTCCCCTTCTCCTGTGGCCCTGTGGGTCCTACGAACGGCCACAAAGGCACTTATTTACCAATTTGGATGAAAAAGGCGCTTTTAAGAAATTTTTATACACGAAGTTATGACTAATTTTAACATTTATATATTTATTTTATCATAATATACACCCTAAGCTATTTTACCTAATATTCTATGAAAATGGTGGATGATTAAAAAAAAAGCTTTTTCAAATAGAGGATTCTTTATATGGGTTAATTTAAGATCAAATAAAATTGATGTTTGGGAAATTCCATGACAGTATCTAGAAAAATATTTTACGATCACGTGGCTATTCACATACTTCATAGCACGTACACAAGCCGTTATTGATAATAAATCCAACTGCTCAAATTGATTAGCAATTAATACAGGAGTACTCCAGTAGTCTGTTCTTGGTCCCCTACTGTTTTCCTTGTTACGTCCTATGCGTGAGCGACCGTATGCGGGAGCATCAGGGAGCTAGCATAGGTGTTGAGATCAAAGATCACGTAAAAGGTATTGGGTTCTTGCCACTTTAAGGTGCTAAAGCACGCCTATTTGCGTTTATGTCACTTGGTCGATGGTTAAGATGAGGATCACAAGCAGGTACTAAATATATTGATTTGGTAAACTCACTCGTTCTACGGGAGTTTAGTTGAAGCTACTGGTAAAGGGTTTATCAGGATTGAGGAGCTAATAGGTTCAGGTCTCGAAATTAAGAGAAAAAGGTATAGTTTAACTAAATATAATAAAACAATAGATTAGAATACATGTAGCCGTTACAGTAAGATGTAGGAGAGAGTATGTTAATCTACTAACATAGCAGAATTCTAATACAATGGATGTGTGATCGTCAACTTGTGTAGTATGGGTTACAAAGATAGATAGATATATATATAAAGGTGTAGGAATGTGAGTTACTTACCAGTGGATGAGCAGAGGAAGAGAGAGAGACGGCGCTCGGTTCTCGACGATAGTGAAATAGATTTGGTTAACGGGAAATTCTTGGTCCAGCCCTAAGGTGGACACTCGCCTAGACGAATGCTTATTAAAATGCCAAGAATTGAGTTCTTTTCGCGTGGACGTTCGGCACTGAAGTGATACACTTTTCGCTTGGGTCCTAAGGCAAGCTAGATCAAAATAGGCCATAAGGTATTTGATCGGCACAACACTTAACTGGCACGAACAATCGGCTCAAGACTCAAAAAGGAATACTGCTCTACCGGAGGATTGATTAGTAACTGAAGATGATCGGTATTGGAGTTCGTAAGGAAGGTTTTGAGTTTGGAGGGGATTGAATGCAACGTTAGGAAATATCTTGGAATTTGGATACATATTGCGGCATGATTGGGGCAATCGAACCCTGTCGTTCGATCGATTTCTCATTGCAGGCCTTCGATCGCAGATTCTTCGTTGGATTAGTGCATTGTCAGGATTATCTTGGTGGTGAGGTGGGTGCGAAGGTGACGGGTAGGAGTTCTGCTGTGCGCGGTATTCGCGGTGCTATGATGAAAATGCTTTTTAGGCACTTCAATTCTGGGTATCTTATTCAGCAATTTTGCCCGTGCCGTTCTTATTCTTTGATTGCGGTGATCTCTCTCTCTCTCTACTCGTCCACCTGCAATGTCGCAATATTGGTGTGATTTTTGAAA